GTGGGTGGGTGTGTTTGTTATGTTCGCTATACACAACTCCATAAAAAAGGCACGAGTGCCAGACTGTTTCGTCGGACTTCCACCGACTCATCAGGAGGTTGAACCCCGACAGTCTGCCCGGGTTGAATTTGGCTGATGGATAAGGGCTCACCATGTCGTGTGTGTGTGTGTATGTGCCAGATACATGTGAAGTGGCAGTCGAGCGTGGTAGTGTGGAGTGGAGCAGTAAAGTCGAAGTCGAACGTGGTAGTGCAGAGTGAAGTAGTAAAGTCGAAGTCGAGCCTAGAGTAGCGTAGGCGTCGATCTTTCCCACGCCGTGGGATTTGCCTTCACGGAAGCTTTCCACCACAGCACACACACAGACAGACACAGAGAGAGAGAGAGGGCGTCTTCGAGCACACGCAAAAGCCGTCACCCACAGAACAGGGCTGCAAGATAGTCTGTCGCACTCGATAGGGAGCGTACAGGAGTTTGACACTTTCACTAGGGTCATGCTTTTAGTTTGTCGCGTTCGGTACTGGGAGGTGCTGGAATGTCCTTTGTCGTATCCAACGGGCCGCTGGACTTCAATGCAGGAAAAGCGCCGCCCTGCAACGGCCCAAAACGCCCTGGCCCTCCACAAAAGGAAAACACAGGGCCGTACCGGTAGTCCAAACATTGCGGGGCGATCCAGGCCGTTCGCAGGCCCGACGGCCCTGATTGCCGCCCGATCTTAAAGCTGGGCAATCCAGGCAGTCAGGCCGGTAGGACCGCGAACGGCCTGGATCGCCGTGCTATCTTAAAATCTTGAGATCACGGGGCAATCCAAGCCGACGGGTCGGACCGGTCAGGATCCCAAATTCTCACATTAGGAACTTTTATAAGTGTAGGGAAAAGGCAACTGGGATGTCACAGCCCTGCTTGCATAATAAAGTTGGAGAATGTATAATCTCTCAGCGTATTGCAACTTGGTCTGCACCATAGGTGGGGAAAAGTGTGTCCACTATATATATCTTTTCATCATGTTTTGCGCTGTAGACCAGGAGGGTGTGTCCATTATGTATCTTCTCTGAGTCTGTCAGTCTCTCTCTAGTCAATCTATCTGCATCACAGTTTGTAAACCTCTCTCTCTCTCTCTCTCTCTCTCTCTCTCTCTCTCTCTCTCTCTCTCTCTCTCTCTCTCTCTCAGTCCGGTACTAACCTGTGAAGGTGGCGCCTTGTTGCAGGTACATCGAAGACGAAGCTGGAGCTATGGCACCACAGGTAAGTCTCCCTGGCCTCCGCCAACCATCTCTCTCTCTCCAACGCTACTCTAGCTCCTAACAGAGCCCAGCGCTGAAGACTACTGCAGCGCTCCTCCAGACTGCTGCTGCCGAATCCTGAAGACTGCCTCCTGCCTCCTGCACGTGAAGTGCCTGGGAAGTCCCTATGAACTACCTGCAGCCTGCAGGGCGGGCCAGTCTTATATAGTGTTGGCCCGTCCAGGAGGCTGCTCTTGCCAATGCCAAAATGTGCCAGACCCTGGTGTTGAAGTTCAAACAAAGGTCGACTTGAAAACAGGCCCAAAATGCCCTGTGCTAAAACCCTGGTCTGGTGCCTAAGTTTCAGGGCAGGTCGACTTCATGAGGGCCTGAAAATGGCCCTCATTTTCAGGCTTTTAGGCTGAGACGACACAGGGCCTGTAGGCCCTTGTTTTCAGGCTTTTAGGCTGAGACGACACTCGTCGGGCCCTGCAGGCCCGTGTGGCTGCGCAGTATGCCAGACAGACACTGCAGGCCTAAGAAGTAGCTGCTCCTCAAAAGTGAGGAGTTGGGGCAAAACCCTCGTTCAGAACTCATTCGTCATATTTTTGCCGCTTGGAGAGACTACCGTCTTCACCCAAATAGAACGCCCGGTCATTACCACTGAAACTGGACTGGAAGCTTCACCAAATACAGCAAAAATTACCGGGCATTCTATCGGGGCGAAGATGGTAGAGAGGCGCTACTTTCACCACTGATCAAGGAGAGAGAGAGAGAGAGAGAGAGAGAGAGAGAGAGAGAGAGAGAGAGAGAGAGAGAGAGAGAGAGAGAGAGAGAGAGAGAGCAGCCATAGCCAGTGCGAACTAGCTGTTCACTGCACGGTTTCTCGAGCCGGTTGTTGAATGTTGCTCAGGGAGGCCGGGCCTTCAATAATTTATCACCATTTTCTGGTTCCACCAACTATTTTGTGTGTGACTACTAGAATTCCCATTTTCTGTGGAGTTGTGGTCCAGTGTCATCTCATCTCAATCAAGTGTGTAAGTGAGATGACGAGTGGAGGTGCTTGAGCTTTCAGAAAATAGTAACAGCCTCGCTCCTACTCTGGGAGCGTTCGTACCTTTTCCACTGGCAAGTCATATTGTACCGGGTGTCGCCAAGGACGCCCGTTAAATATTTGAAAATTAAAATAGAAAAAATAAAAAATAATAAAAATGGAGAGGCAACTGATGGAGGGAAGCACCTGTTTTTGCCAACCCTGCAACTGAAGCCGGGGAGGTCCACACGAGTCACTGCCCGTCAAGAGAGCTTCTGCCTGTTCAAAATTGCTGCATCCCTTTGCCAAGACATGAATGAGATAAATCTCCCAAATTGCGGCAGTCCACTTCTCTGAAACCTCCCTGAAGTCGTTTTTCAGGCTCTCTCTTCCGTCATCAGAATAGGCTGACAGTTTGGTGTCTTCGCGACCAACTGTTGGTTCCTTTCCACACTCCTTCACATCCAGCTTATCAAACAGATACTCCTCAAGAACAGCTTTCGCACATGCATGGTTTCCGCCTGACGCCAAAAGACAACCCCTGTACAAGGAGAAAGGGGAAGTGGAGCAGTGGGGGAGTGACCAAGTGCAGGAGCAGGAGCAGATGCAGAATGCTTCAGCCACACCAGACACAATGCAACATTGGCGATAGCAGATTATGATTCTTACTGTCACTAACCACCCCCATAAGTCCTGTTGTACGTGTGTGTGTGTGTGAGAGAGAGAGAGAGAGGAAGACGGGGAGAGAGAGAGAAAGAGTGAAAGAGAGAAACGGACGGATGAACAGACCTACAGAAGAAGAGGAGACGGGAGAGTGAGAAGAAGAAACACAGACAGAGAGAGAGAGAGAGAGAGAGAGAGAGAGAGAGATGGGAGACAGAGACAGAAAACACAGAGAGAGAGAGAGAGAGAGAGAGAGAGAGAGAGAGAGAGAGAGAGAGAGAGAGAGAGAGAGAGAGAGAGAGGATGAATGCACCAAGAAGCCTCTTATTCACGTCGATTGAGAGCTTTATTCAAATTCCGAAGTTCAAACATATATGGCATTATATGCACATGGGGTGACAGGGTCCAATTCCCTCTTCTAGCATTGTGCGAATGTCCCTGTCGCTCCCATGGCACACTCCACACTGGCAGAAAGGTTCTACATCAATCGAAGCTGAGAAACTAGAATTGACTGAGAAATCAAGGATAATAGGGTAGGGGAGATGAGGTGGCAAACAGGGGAAGATAGAGATGATGTTGCCAACTCCGATCTCTCCTGGCTCAAATCAATCCAAAATAGGATACAGTTGATTATGAAATCAGGTGAAGACTGAAGTACGAAACGATAACGGTATTGTTGTAGGAAACACAAAATCAGGTGAAGAGTGAAGTAAGCGATTACGGTATTGTTGTAGGAAACACAAATGTGAAGAGTCTGAAGACTGAAGTAAACGATTACCGTAATGTAGTAGGAATCACAAAATCACGTGAAGACTGAGGTAAGTAAAAGATTATGGTGTCTAGGCGTAGTGGCGGATTTTGTGTTTCCTACAAAATCCGTCACTACTCCTAAGCACCATACCCCAATGTCTACACATTAGCGTAGAAGTAGGATAAGAATTCATAAAATTAAAAAAAAATACCATGAGCAGACCCATGCAGAAAAGGAAAGGAAAATTACGGTTTCTGATTCCCTCGACGATAAATCAAATACCGCCAGTAGAAATTACGGTTTCTGATTCCCTCGACGATAAAATCAAATACCGCCAGTAGACCCATGCAGAAGAGGAAAGGGCCAAGACACAAACAGACAACAAACGCACACTGGACGAAGAAGACTTGCAGGGGATGACAGAGATGGGTCCCAAGAAAACGAAGGCAATGAGCTCGGAGGAAGGGGACAGAACAGACCCATGCAAGTGCGGCTGAGTCCCAATGGTCTCTTCAATGGCTGAGGGAATACATCGAAAAGGCCAAGAGGGAGAGAGACCACGCGTTTGACATCAGAGAAGCCTGTCTGAAACACATTGAACACGCGTCTGACATCAGAGAAGCCTGTCTGAAACACATTGAGAGATCCTGGAAAAATGGGAAGAATGGGACAATCGCTGGCATTGAGAAGTCAAAAAATCAGTATGACACGCTAAAGCAAGAGAACGCAAAGGAATTGTCTGAATACGCTGCCTTCAGATATGCAAAAAAAAAGAGGGCAAGAGAACAAGGTTTAGTAGGCAAGGACAAGACAGTCCTCAACACCAAAGACTACTTTCAAGATCTGCGCCCAAAGAAATGGAAGACGGAGAAATCAGAAAAAGAAGGAACCAAATTCAGATCAAACAGAGGCAGAAGAGGAATCAACATGCTCGCTATTGGAAAATGAAGTGGCTGTGGATGTGGCCCAATCAGAAAAAAAATAATAAAGTGGAATGCAGAGTACACACCAGAGTTCACTAGCAGAGTACACACCAGAGTTCACTAGCAGAGTACACACCAGAGTTCAATAGCATTCAACACATCCCCAATGGGAAGGCACCACACGTGGTGGCCTCGGCCAAATCAGCACGACTGACATTGATGGACACCCACCCGCTGATTGCAGCCAGGTACGACGAGAAAGAGGGAGAATGGCAGATCGCCACAGATGTGTCCTTCAGAATCCCAAGGATTGAGAGAGGACAAAACGTCGCCAGTATTCTTCAAGAAAAGGTAACAGAGGGGTACCCACTGGGTGTGTACGAAACAGTTGCCCTGGACGATGGTCACGAGGACAGATCCTCCCAAGCTCGCCAGGTGGACCAGCAGGACCATCATATGGACCTAGAGAGACACTCCCCTCACACCTTCTCCCTCCTGATTGCAAGACTATCAGAGGAAACCAAGCTGAGTGGGATGATGTGGAGACGATGGAGAACCGCAACAGCGATTCCATACAGCATGCTGGCAGGACCTGACATTCTAGTGGAACTGTTGGCGGTCTCGGTGGCACACCTCTTGACTTCTGGGATTCTGAAGGGTGACAGCGATCTGGACTCGAGGGCGTTCCCCATAGATCTGGACAGATATTATAGAAGCGATTGCTCCAAAAGTGATATGGAGGAGTGGCAAGATGAGGACGAGGGAGTAGGATCGAAATCAGCCCTTGTCCTGGGACAGGGAACCGGTAGAAGCGTGGGGGAATATAAGCTAGATGATTATGTCACCACGGCGCAACAGGACCCGCCGAGTGATGCGTCAAAAGAGACGGATGCAAACGATCAGGCCCCCTCCTAGGCTGTCTACCACTATGATTGTACCCTTGCCTCTTCCCGTAGCCTCAATGATGGAGATTTTTAGAAAGGGGGCAAACGCAAAGGAAGACCAGGTGAACTGGAAGACACAAGGGATAGTCATTAGGAGCTGGAACATTAATGGTCTCGAAAATATTATCGACAAAGAAGAAAAAATGAATGACTTGATCAAAGGACTTGCCGTTCACACAAAAAAAATGTCAGATATCATATTGCTGCAAGAAACTTGTCTCACCTTCTCAGCAAAACACAACAAAATTTGAGAACTCTTATCAAGGAAACTAGGAGGAATGAAGGATGAAATATGGTCCTCATATAATACATCATGCACGAAAGGAACAACCATCCTTATACGCAAATCATCCCACCTATACACGACAGGGTCGATAGTGTGCAAAGAGGTGGACACTGTAGACAGTCGATGGTGCCTTATAGATGTAAAGTGGAAGGAGGAAGAGTTCAGAGTAATCAACATCTACTCACCAGACGGCTCTTCAGACAGATCAACATTTATAACAAACATCGGCCATTTGATCCCCCCTTTGTTGGCTTGCATTTTGGCCGGTGATTGGAACGCAACTATAGACCCGCCACGAATTGTATATCTACGCACTCGGCTGGTCAGCTTACACAGGAGGCGCTGCCCATCCAAAAGCTGATGATGGACTACAATCTAGTCGAACCATATCGGACTTTGCATCGAGGGACAAAAACGTTCATATTGGTTAAAAAGAACCACGCCCACCACACCGCTTTCTCCTTCATTGACTATTTCATGATCTCAAGGACACTAATGGGGACTGCTAAAAGAGTTGAGATCCTGCCTCTCGCACCGTAGCTGGGTCTGGACCACAAACCCATCAAACTCATAATCAACTTAGAAAAGTATGTCAAAAAGGGGTTTAGCTTTCACAAACTCAACAACTCCCTCCTACTAAGCCACTCTTTTCAAGTGGGAGTTCAAAAGTGTTGGCAAAATTTGAGGGGCGCCTACCTGAGCATACAAGATCGATGGAAGTGGTTTCAGGAAAGATATTCCACATTATCACGGGAGGTGGCTAGAATCTCAAGGAAAGCGTCCGACAGAAAACAGAGGAAGCAAGTGTTGGAGACAACCCTGAAGATCGCGGAGACAAATCTGATTGATAACCCCTCTTCTGCGCTTACAGATATTTTTGAAAAGGCAAGAGAAGAACTCACTATGTGGAGATGGTGGAGGGACTACAAATAAAAGCTAGAATAAACGAATACGAGCTAAGTGAGTCAATGTCAAAACACATCTTCGCAAGAATCAAAGCAACCTCAAGGGCCAATGCCATAGAAAGCTTCAAAACCCTCTCAAATCCAACTGAAATTGTGACAGACAGCAAAGGAATGTTGAACGTAGCAAAGGATTTCTACGAATAGCTCTATCACACGAAGACACCTATGCCTACTCCGCCCAGCACCAGAGAGGCACGGATGAGGGTGCTACAATACCTGGAACAAACGATATCTCAAGAACAAGCAAAAGCTCTAGACAAGTCCATCATCATGGAAAAACTGCAATTTGGTGTCCAAAGTACGAACAACAATAAGTCACCAGGAATCGACGGGCTGACAAACCAATTCTGGGAAAAAAAACTGCCGCTCTTAGGAGGCGATCTGCTAAACTTCTACAACAACAGTTGGCTGAAGGGGGGACTGGGAAACTTACTGAGTAGCAGCGTGTGGACCCATGTCGCTTCTAACCCATCCCTATAAGATCCTAGCCAAAGCTCTTGCCTTTTGAATCCTAGATCTGACAGACAAATGCTTTCATATAGACCAAACAGGCTTCATCCTTGGGAGATACATCCTGGACAATGTACTGACCCTCAACGAAGAGCCCAACAAAGTCAAGGAAAAAAGGATAAACACAACAATTTTTTTTTTCAATTTTGAAAAGGCCTACGACCAGGTCAACTGGGCCTTTCTCGATGCAAGCATGGAAAAGATGGGAGTGGGCCCAAATTTTAAAAAGTGGGTACGCATTCTGTATAATGACGCCATAGGTTGCATCCAAGTCCATGGCTTGCTCTTTAACTGCTATCCAATCTCTCGGTCAGTTCGCCAAGGGGACCCGCTAGCCCCCCTGATCTTCCTCTTCGTGATGGAAGCAATAGCCTCATTTTTACGCAAAGATCCCTCCATACACATTCTACCAGAGGTCAATGTAGGAACAACCCACCACCTACAGTTCCCGACAGTAATAATGTTTGCAGACGATCTCACGATCCTCATAAGAGCTTCAGACTCGTCGTTCAGCATGTTAGTAAAACTAATGGAAGCGTTCAGACTGGCATCAGAAATGAAGATTTATTGGAAGAAAGCAATCGGCTGGTGGCTATCGGAGGAGGAGGTTTTTCCCCTCAAATGGCCCAAAAATATACTCGTCAAACAAAAAAACAAACTGGGCAGATGGGGTAGCACATTCACATCATTGCTGGGCTAATCACTAGCCATCACCACATCTAATTTTCCAATGGTGTGGTATATAGCGTCAATCTGGACAGTTCCGGACCATACAATCAAGGAACTTAACCGCAAGGCAAGAGCGTACTTGTGGTCACGAGACCCCAACAAAGAGAATTGTATACCAAAGATAGTCTGACATTACATCACAAGGAAACCAGTCAGAGGGGGTTTTGGTATCATAGACCCCAAACAGGAAACCAAAGCCTTACGAGTTAAATGGATAGTCAAACTACTGACTAAACCTGGTACGACAACTGGCCTTGGATAGCATCAAGGGTGACGCATGCCCAATGGGACAATGCGTAGGGAGCCAAGGATCCGCAATGTGATGAAAAGGACTGAAATGGACAATGCAAGGTCAGCGTAGCATCAACAAGCAATGTACATTCCAATACATACAAGATGGCACAAAGTGGCGCAGTGGAAGACTTAAAAGAGAAGATCTGATCTGATCTGGACTGACCCGACATCCATCATACATCACACATGTGAGAGGGGAAACGGGACTGCAATCACAGAAGGGAGGTCCCTCCGTCACACACATACATGGGGAGATACCACGGATGAGAGATGGAGGGAGAGGGACAAGACGAAGGAGAAGGAGGCGCGGGAGTAGACCAAGATCACGATAGCGAAGTCCCAAAAATAGTCCCTTGCCAAGTGTCCAATCAATGTCTGTCCCAGAGATGTCGAATCAGATCCTGGGCAATGTGCCCAACATAACTTCCGTCTGTATTCCCTACTGATGATCTCTCTCACTCTCGTAGAAGAAGAAGGTAAGAAAGAGGAGGAAGAGGGAGAAAGGAGAGAGAGAGGGAGGAGGAAGAAGAAGAAGATGACGTCCTCCTTGCTATCTCACCTGCAGGTAGCTGTCACCGTACTGACTGTGGTCGTCGTCGTGTGCAGGTACCGCGCGGAGCCCAGCTATGGCGCCAGGTAAGTTCGTCGCTTGCAGGTAAGGCCGCCGCCTCTCTCCACTACCTACTCCGCTACTCCATACTTCGTAGCTTGGCGCAGAATAACGCTGCTTCAACCGGCAGCGTGTCGCTCCAGAAGTGAGCTACTCGAACTGTCCCTTGCCCAGCCGCTGCCCAGCTATTTGTAGCGCTCGCGGGCTGGGCCTACCTGGTGCTGGCCTCAGAAAACGGCCCAGCTGGTCTCCCTACCGGTCATCCAGACCATGCTGCTGATGCAGCAAGGCGCAGAAATGCACCTGAACTAAAAACGGCCCGGTACCTGTGCACCTGGCCCAAGGCGTCGCCTTAGGATCTGCAGGACCGAAACGACACCTGTACCTACCGGTCTGGCGCCAAAATGCGCCTGGCCTCGTTTCGGGCCTGCCTCGGGTGTACACAGCCCCAAGGTCCGGCCTTGGGGCTGCAAGTCCAAAACGGCACCTGAACAGACAAAGTAAGACAGCACACACACACAAAAAGGTAAGTAAACTAAACCTATCTAACTAGTGTGCTACCTAGGGCCTGAAGGGCCGCCGTGGGCCTCCAGGGTGTGTGCAGTATGGTACGCGGCCTGGGGGGCCCTCAGCAACCGTCGGGCCCCTCAAATGGGGCCCGTGTGCAGGCGCAGCATGCAACAAGGGCCTAGCACCTACAGCCACACCTGCAATATGTCCGGTCTGTAATGTCCAAGGAATGGAGCCCGAGTACAGGACGCAGAAATCAACGAAGATGAACCAGTCGAAATGAAGCCAGGCCCCCTACACCATATTGGACTGCATTGCTACGGATATGGCAGGAAGTCATGTCGAAGAAGGTGGGTAGACCCGAATCCAAAGACGAGGTACCGAGGCAACCCCTGTTTGGTAATCCGTGGGTGAGAGACGAAAGTGATCACCAGCTATCCCTTAAGCCTGGAGGAAGGAGATGGCTATCGTGGATCAAACATGGAGTTTGGAAAGTGAGCCATAGGTGGAACGAGGAGAAAAAGGACTGGGTGACAGAACAGGAACTTGCCTCCCAGCTCAAAGGATGTCACCGACAAGACGAGAATCTACAATCCATTATCGACTGCATCCCAGAAGGCTGGAAGGAGTTGTTGAGCGGAACCCCAACGGGGAAATCGGGTGAATGGGGAGTGAGGGTGCGGGATTTAACTCCCTCAAGGGCCTATCATTTTCCCACAAACAGCAAGGGTCGGATATTCTGGCGGTGTTTACCTCTTTCCCAAGTACCCCCTCCACACAAGGCCTTCCATCCATCCTGAATAGGGAGGTGGAAAGAACAGTCCTAAACCCCTCTGTACTCAGAAAAGTAAGAGTGTTGGGATCATGGCCAAAAACAATCTTCAGAGTAGATACGACGATTCAAGATTTGAATTTTTACCCCGAAAAGTGGGCTCGGACGCCAGACAGAAGCAGAAGTCTCAAAACGAATGTCCCCATCCAGGGATACTCCTCGAAACAAAGGATCCTGACCCAACGATCAAGAACAGATGGCAGAAGTTAATGGGTCAGGACGCTAGTCAGATCCCACAAATACCATGGAAAAAATTCAAGTCAATCCGACCGGTCAAAATCAGAAGCCTCCAATGGCTCATCTCATACGTGGCTCTACCCGTTAACCAGTGGCTGCAGATGAGACGAAGTAAGAATGACCCTAACAGTTCATATTTATGTGTGGTATGTTCAGAAAACGAACCAGAAGATATGCTACATTGCCTGATACGCTGTAGAGAGGCGACGGTATATTGGGCGATGGCCTCAGATCTTTGGGATTCCCTCTTCTCGACTCCCCTCCGTGAGCACCCCATCCAACTCTG